GCTGTCATTCCTTCTGTCAGTCCTACTGTTCCTTCTGTCAGTCCTACTGTTCCTTCTGTCAGTCCTACTGTTCCTTCTGTCAGTCCTACTGTTCCTTCTGTCCATTCCTTCTGTCATTCCTTTCTTCTATCATTCATTCCTTCTGTCATTCATTCCTTTTGTCATTTCTTCCTTCTGTCATTCCTTCTGTGAAGTAATATTATGGTACAAGATGAAATCCTATCAATTCAAGAATCTCAGGATTGAGTTTGATCCATACGTTGTCGTTATAATAATTTTATTCTGATGTTAATTGAAATAAAAAAATTCATCATAACCTGTTCAAAAATTAATTAAAACATCCAATTCTGCACCAAACAATGTGAGTTTAATAGGAAGCAAGATGCTGACAAAAACTACATTAATAACTTAAACATTTCTATTATTTTAATCTTCCCTCATCAATTACAACTCAACCTACATGTCAAATTACAATAAACAACATTAATCTAACAGCATGTCTGTCTGTATTTTACATCTGTTTTAACACCATTTCTAGGTGGTGAAATATAATAATTATCAATACAGATACCCTTAAATTACAGAAACATTATGATTCTTCTATAGGTCAAAATTTATCTAAAACCCATCCAGTCTTTATGAGACCCAACATCAACACTAGTTTAAGTTGCTTACTTAACGATTAGTACACTCAGTTTTTAATTTACCCTTTTAAAACAAATTCAGTTTGATCAAAAAGATTATTTATGTAGATATTACTCACAGTCTTTGTGTCAAGGTCTCTGATTGGCTGCATTCGCTGGCACACAATCAATCAAAATGCTACATTTCATAATACTAGAAAGTGGCTATTGTAGTCAAGGTATAAGACACAGTTTGTAATAGCTTGAAATTGTGATGAAGTGGCTATTACAGTCAAGGTATAAGTATGAAGTTAGTAATAGCTTGACATTATGAAGAGTGTGATATTAGAAATGTGATTATTATAGTCAAGGTATAAGATGAGTATAGTATTAAGATGAATCTATGAGTTAAGATAAGTCTGTGGGAGGTAGAAAGAATAGTTTAAACATCTGTTTAATCAAAATAAATTATAAAACCATTAATTTGACTCTACCTCTATCTACTGGTAGATAATAAATATATTATTCATATTTTACTCTTTTACTGAGCCTGTAAGATATTATCATAGAAACCTGTATAATAACAGATGTTAGACTAAATAGTGCTGTAGATGCTGACCTCCACATCCCTTCATTTAATTTGAGATTATTACAAGAGTATACAACAAAAACTAAAAAATACTGGATTCTGTTACATCTCTATCTAACTAATTGATTTTTTTAATGATATATCTTCACTTCAAAAAATTACTTGTTAAAAACTTAGGAATCCATTAATACCAGCCCTGTTGTTAGGGTGGGGTCCGTGGGGGTTGGGTCCCAGCAAGTGAGAACTAAACCCCAGCTAAACCTTCTTCAGTTCAAGAGAGATTGATTATTGACAGTATCTTTGTATAAAATCAAAATGATATAGATTTTGATATGTTTTTGACACCTCAAATTGTCAGAAATGAGTTCTTTGGGTCTTTAATTCTTCAAATTACAAAGTACAAAATCTGAGCCCCAGCACCAATTCATTCCTAGCAACAGAGCTGATTAATACAAGTCCACTGGCAAATAAAACTTATTCCAATAATACAAAACTGAAACAGCTTTGATATTTGAAGTTACAATTTAATATTTTGATATTTGAAGTTACAATTTAATATTTTGAAAGTTAGCAGAAAATTTATAAGTTCTTAAATTAGCATACATTTAGTGTTTACTATTTTCAAAATGATTCTAAGGAAATCAGGGGTTGACTTTCCAATATTTGGGTACGAACCTTAGAGAAAACTGAGCACATGTTCGACACTTGACACTGTGACCTCAAACTAGTACAAGTTACTGACAGTAAAACCTGTAGATTCCAGCCCAGGGGCAGATTGTAGACCAGGGAAATAAATATTTACATTTCCTCTTTTCAAAACAAGATTTTCTATATTTTATATGATTACAGACACTCAACTGGCACGTGTTATTTGGAGTTTAATCTTGATAAACCACAGGAAAACATGGAAATACTTGAAAATATTTTTTTTTTTGATACTATCTGAATTAAAACAACATGAAACTCTGACAAGTAGAAGAGCTAATCCAAAGAAAAAACACAATTTTTATCAACAATATTTCTTTAGTAATAAACAGTTTGTGATAAAAACATTCTAATTTGTGTAAAATGCTGAAAATTTCTAGTTTGTGATAAAAACATGATTATAAAATATGTTCTTGTTAAAATTGATTTTCAACAATAAGAATAAGATTTGGATCTACTGGGTAGATTCAGTGAAGTAATAGAAGAAAGTAATCAATCATACAGTCACTAGATAATACTATTTCAATCAATATGTAAAATAATTGTGTCTTGGTTTATTTTCTCATGTGAACGACTATGTCAGCCCCTCTTACCTACATCACTGATATTGGAAAATCGTGTTGAAAAAAGGTATTATCTTGACCTATGCTGGGATTAAACCCTGGGCCTTTAGGTTAGCAAGCAAGCGTCTAACTCACTGAGCCACCGCTCCCATGTTATTATCTAAGGCTGGTACAACACATTTTGAAGTAAGGAGTGTTTATTATATTCTATAACATTGTCTTGTGATTTGTTATTATCAACTAATAAAGAAGTAGAGAAGTTAGTTGACTTACCTGGTAAAATCTAGAAAGGCCAGATGACCGTGATATAACGCTGGTGTTTTCTCTGTCCAGGTTGTTATATTTATAGCAAATCTCATCTAAAATATAAAAATAAAACATCATCTATAGATATGTGGACTCTCTGAAATATCAACTATTAGCAAAATTTATCAAAAATACAGAATATAATATAACTTCTTAAAGCTCAGTATTAAAGGGATTGTAAAGAGGTTTTCTCAATTTTCTATATCAGGAACACTGATCAATTTACACCATTGATAACATCACTAAACAGATCTATTTGAATTGGAAAATTAGAATGGTGTAAATTGATTCTATCAGTGTCAGGGATACAGTTCACAACTTAGAAAACTAATGCCTAGACAACAAACCCAACTAATATATTATACCAAATATATATCATTATTAACTATGTGGACTCTCTGAAAGGGATACTGAATTGACAAGATTAAATATCAAAGAAACATTATTAGCTATGTGGACTCTCTAACCTAAATACCAAATAAACATTATTAGCTACGTGGACTCTCTGAAAGAGATACTGAATTGATAAACCTAAATACCAAATAAACATTATTAGCTATGTGGACTCTCTAACCTAAATACCAAATAAACATTATTAGCTACGTGGACTCTCTGAAAGAGATACTGAATTGACAAGACTAAATACCAAATAAACATTATTAACTATGTAGACTCTCTGAAAGAGATACTGAATTGACAAGACTAAATACCAAATAAACATTATTAGCTATGTAGACTCTCTGAAAGAGATACTGAATTGACAAGACTAAATACCAAATAAACATTATTAGCTACGTGGACTCTCTGAAATAAACATTATTATTTGCCAGTATAATCTCTGATGTTTACAATCTAAAACATTAAAAATTTAAACAACTATTACTGTACTATCTGTATATGTAATTTGTAAATAAAAGAAATATGTTGGCACAGTGGAAATAACTGTTTCTCTTAGATTAAACATTACCAAAATATAAACATTTCACAAACACAGCTTGATCTCTACCTTCATTACATCTAAATATATTTCATGGAATCAACCCAAATTTTATATAATAAAGTTAGTTTTTAACGAGGCAAGGTAGATAACTGTCATGTTCTAGTATCATAAAATTAACAATTATATTAGTTATATATAATAAAATACATGTTCTAATTTATTATATTCTTGTATTAAACTGACAGTGTGTACCTATTTCAGAATAATAATAATAACACAGGGTAATTTATGTGCTGAATCAATGGATGAATGATGTTAAGCTGGGTACAGTGAAGAAAATATAACATCAACATTTGATCAATTATGAAACTTGATAATCAATAAACCAAATTATAAAATCATAGGAAGATCATTTCAATAGCTGTACCTAGCCCTACTTTAAGATCATTCTTGTCTAGTGTTTACTAGTATTTCAATAGCTGTACCTAGCCCTACTTTAAAATCATTCTTGTCTGGTGTTTACTAGTATTTCAATAGCTGTACCTAGCCCTACTTTAAAATCATTCTTGTCTGGTGTTTACTAGTATTTCAATAGCTGTACCTAGCCCTACTTTAAAATCATTCTTGTCTAGTGTTTACTAGTATTTCAATAGCTGTACCTAGCCCTACTTTAAAATCATTCTTGTCTGGTGTTTACTAGTATTTCAATAGCTGTACCTAGCCCTACTTTAAAATCATTCTTGTCTAGTGTTTACTAGTATTTCAACAGCTGTACCTAGCCCTACTTTAAAACCATTCTTGTCTGGTGTTTACTAGTATTTCAATAGCTGTACCTAGCCCTACTTTAAAATCATTCTTGTCTGGTGTTTACTAGTATTTCAATAGCTGTACCTAGCCCTACTTTAAAATCATTCTTGTCTAGTGTTTACTAGTATTTCAATAGCTGTACCTAGCCCTACTTTAAAATCATTCTTGTCTAGTGTTTACTAGTATTTCAATAGCTGTACCTAGCCCTACTTTAAAATCATTCTTGTCTGGTGTTTACTAGTATTTCAATAGCTGTACCTAGCCCTACTTTAAAATCATTCTTGTCTAGTGTTTACTAGTATTTCAACAGCTGTACCTAGCCCTACTTTAAAACCATTCTTGTCTGGTGTTTACTAGTATTTCAATAGCTGTACCTAGCCCTACTTTAAAATCATTCTTGTCTGGTGTTTACTAGTATTTCAATAGCTGTACCTAGCCCTACTTTAAAATCATTCTTGTCTAGTGTTTACTAGTATTTCAATAGCTGTACCTAGCCCTACTTTAAAATCATTCTTGTCTAGTGTTTACTAGTATTTCAATAGCTGTACCTAGCCCTACTTTAAAACCATTCTTGTCTGGTGTTTACTAGTATTTCAATAGCTGTACCTAGCCCTACTTTAAAATCATTCTTGTCTAGTGTTTACTAGTATTTCAATAGCTGTACCTAGCCCTACTTTAAAATCATTCTTGTCTGGTGTTTACTAGTATTTCAATAGCTGTACCTTGCCCTACTTTAAAATCATTCTTGTCTAGTGTTTACTAGTATTTCAATAGCTGTACCTAGCCCTACTTTAAAATCATTCTTGTCTAGTGTTTACTAGTATTTCAATAGCTGTACCTAGCCCTACTTTAAAATCATTCTTGGCTGGTGTTTACTAGTATTTCAGTTGTTTACTAGTATTTCAGTTGTTTACTAGTATTTCAGTTGTTTACTAGTATTTCAGTTGTTTACTAGTATTTCAGTTGTTTACTATTATTTCAGTTGTTTACTAGTATTTCAGTTGTTTACTAGTATTTCAGTTGTTTACTATTATTTCAGTTGTTTACTAGTATTTCAGTAACGCATCTTGAAAGCAATTGATAGCAGGTGTTAACTATCTAAATATCCTGATGATACGAGGGAGGTACTAGTAATAGTAAACACTCAGTACTTAACGTAGATCTGTTTATAACATCCACCTATAGATATACAGTACAGTAATATCATTATAATCTTACTACAGTCTATCAAATACATTATACTTATACTATACATAGAAATACACACAAATTATATTCTTAACAAGACAGGGTAGACTGACTCTTCTAGATACCTGATACCACTTCAGATGGTTAGTACTTGGTTTATTTATTAGTATATCAGAGGTAAAACTTGAATATTCTATGACTACATGCCCCATATAATCAATGAAAATAGGGGAATAAAACAAAAATTCACCATGAAAAAAATGAGGTTAATAATATTATATTTATCACCTACCAACTTCATCTTATACCTTGACTGAAATAGCCACCTTTCTTGTATCTTCACAATGTCAATGTATTATGAACTTTGTCTTATACCTTGGCTGATATAGCCACCTTTCTTGTATCTTCACAATGTCAAGGTATTATGAACTTCGTCTTATACCTTGGCTGATAAAGCCACCTTTCTTGTATCATTAAATGCAGCGATTTGATTGGATTGTACTCCCGCCAATCAAAGACCTCGACAGACAGGCTGTAAATGTCATTGCTTATTGTTTAAAGACTTTCTTTTAAGGCCTCTGATTGGCTGTATTCGCAAACCAACAATCCAATCAAATCCTACATTAACAACCTTCATGTAAATTTAAACTCATTCTATGTAAGGCCTAAAAAGTTAGATATAGCACACACCAACCTGTATCTATCTCCACCAAGGTGTTAAATGTCAGGTAGAGGACAGGTAAGAGAGTGTGAAGATACATAACAATAGATTATTTTATATGATGAATTATAAATTATATTATTTTCTCTAGTGTTTTATCTAGATTAATAAATATGTTTTATTTTAGAGGTTACAGGTTAAAACATGTTATATCATTTACAAGTTTGTTAAAACCACATTCATATCTATTATAAATAGTACATATTCTAGTTAGTCTTTCAGTTTTAACTTTCAATTTCTGAAGCATGGTTACTTCACACATAGACTTCAAATTTCATTTATAAATAATAAACTATAGACAATAAACAATAAACAATAAACAAGGTATCTAACTAAGAGTAAAATAAAACAGAGTATTTAGAAGACTAGAAAGAGAGATAATGTAGAAAGACTAGGAAGGTATCTAACTAAGAGTAAAATAAAACAGAGTATTTAGAAGACTAGAAAGAGAGATAATGTAGAACTATGAAGATATCAACCTAAGAGTAAAATAAAACAGAGTATTTAGAAGACTAGAAAGAGAGATAATGTAGAAAACTATGAAGATATCTAACTAAGAGTAAAATAAAACAGAGTATTTAGAAGACTAGAAAGAGAGATAATGTAGAAAGACTAGGAAGGTATCAAACTAAGAGTAAAATAAAACAGAGTATTTAGAAGACTAGAAAGAGAGATAATGTAGAACTATGAAGATATCTAACTAAGAGTAAAATAAAACAGAGTATTTAGAAGACTAGAAAGAGAGATAATGTAGAAAGACTATGAAGATATCAAACTAAGAGTAAAATAAAACAGAGTATTTAGAAGACTAGAAAGAGAGATAATGTAGAACTATGAAGGTATCGAGTTAAAGTGAGATAAAAACTAAGGTTAGAATAAAGATTGCAGGGAAATTAAACAAAGACAATAAAATAGAAATTAAAGGTGTGATATAAAACAAGGCTGTGTATTGTTGAGAATAAATTGTTAAGAAGATAAGACAAGGTATAAATTAACATAACTAATAAAATACTAATCTAATTTCCATTGTATCAGTTTTAATACGCATTGAAAAATAAAACAGGGCACCAACCTTATAGCACAATACAACAACTAATAAATACCAGGCACCAGTGATAACTTAGTTTAACAGAAACAGAAGGAAATATGGCGAGGCACCAGTGATAACTTAGTTTAACAGAAACAGAAGGAAATATGGCGAGGCACCAGTGATAACTTAGTTTAACAGAAATAGAAGGAAATATGGCGAGGCACCAGTGATAACTTAGTTTAACAGAAACAGAAGGAAATATGGCAAGGCACCAGTGATAACTTAGTTTAACAGAAACAGAAGGAAATATGGCGTAGAAAAGACACTATCCCTGATGTTGTTATGGGTGTTAGGGTGTATTGAGACGAGTGAAAGCACTGGCCTAGGTCACAGAGCAATAGATAAGTCTATTAATTATGTGAAAATTAGTTAGTCATTAGTATGGTATGACTTTAGTTGAAAAGACATTTGGGTATTATAGATAGAAGACACTCTCCTATAGAAGCACTGGCCAAGGTCACAAGTATTAGGCGTTAAAAAAGATACTCTCCTATAGAGGCACTGGCCAGGGTAACAAGTATTATGTATTATAGAAGATACTCACCTATAGAGGCACTGGCCAAGGTCACAAGAAGAGGACTTGTATTAGACATGGAATACTGTATAAACTGTTATTGATGTCAAAAGAAAACTAAAATGTGAAATCAAACTCTGCCCTTTCTATTTCATATCAAATTTCTAACAACAAGATATCAAACTCTGCCCTTTACATCTACAATTCAACAAGTTCCAAATATAACTACACCTTTGACAGGCAAAAACCTGCATCTGCCAAACTGAAACCAAATAAATTTCAACATTTTCTGCACTTCTAGAAATATTGTAAGCAAATGTCAATATTGATCAAGATCAGAATCATATTGAAACTTCATCTTAACAATGTCAAGCTATTACAAACTTCATCTTCACAATGTCAAGCTATTACAAACTTCATCTTAACAATGTCAAGCTATTACAAACTTCGTCTTCACAATGTCAAGCTATTACAAACTTCATCTTCACAATGTCAAGCTATTACAAACTTCATCTTCACAATGTCAAGCTATTACAAACTTCATCTTTACAATGTCAAGCTATTACAAACTTCATCTTAACAATGTCAAGCTATCACAAACTTCATCTTCACAATGTCAAGCTATTACAAACTTCATCTTCACAATGTCAAGCTATTACAAACTTCATCTTAACAATGTCAAGCTATTGCAAACTTCATCTTCACAATGTCAAGCTATTACAAACTTCATCTTCACAGTGCCAAGTTATTACAAACTTCATCTTCACAATGTCAAGTTATTACAAACTTCATCTTCACAATTTCAAGATATTACAAACTTCATTTTCACAATGTCAAGCTATTACAAACTTCATCTTCACAATGTCAAACTATTACAAAGTTCATCTTCACAATGTCAAGCTATTACAAACTTCATCTTTACAATGTCAAGCTATTGCAAACTTCATCTTCACAATGTCAAGCTATTACAAACTTCATCTTAACAATGTCAA